GCTCTTACCATGCACCAGATTCTGTACCTCGCTTTGGAAATATTATCTCATTTACTCCTCACAACAACCCTGGGAGGTAGATTCTATTCTAGTCCCCATTTTACGGTTGAGGAAACTGAGGCAGAAAGTAGTTAGGTAATTTTCCCAGGATCACACTGCTAGCATCTGAGGCCAGATGTGAACTTGGGTCTTCTTGACTCCAGAGACAGTGCTCTAAACATTGGGTGACCTAGCTGGGGAGGAAGGCCTCAGGTCTTTGCCATCTGACCCGTGAGCATACTGCCCTGTTGGTGCTTTTGTCTCTCTTGTCTCTTGTCTTTACTGCATGTAGGTGAGCGAGACTGGAGATGTTTATGACATTGAGCTTCAAAAGGTCAGGAGAGAAAGCCAAGAGATATCTGGGAGCTGGAGTCCATACTAGGATTTGCCAGAAGACAGATGGGAAGAAGGGATTGATGGGATGCTAATGATGAACCCCTAAAAGGCCCTGAACTCTCCCACGTGGCCCAGGTTGCTGGCTTTCACCTGGGGCACCTGACCGTTTCCAGTTAATAATCCTTTGAACTGCCCTTTCATTGTGGCCCTCAATGTCTGTATCTGGTTCCATCCCAGACAACCACTCCTTAATTCCATCTAGGCCCCTTCTCTGTAATCTCCCAGTCACCCCAAGCTATATTGACCACACTATAAAAAAGGTCAGTCTCTACCAAACTGCTCTGATTCCTTAAGATTCTGGCCCACATGGTCACAATAGCACAGGTTCTTAAAAGGCCCACATGCTTCTACTGGAGAAACAATAAACTTTGTCTCTGACTTTAAAGAAGGCTTGAGTTGAATTCTTTTGAGGCAGGACCTGTGCCTTTTGCCCTTGAATTTTGGGGTTCCCAGAACCCCTAGACCTCAATAGGATGACCTAAGCAACCTTCTTGGATCAGTCAACCAGTAACAGAGATGTGGCCTCATTCACATATGCTGTGCAACATTTGGAAATGAACTTGGTGGGGTCAATAATATGTAGAAACTCTTCTAAGTCCATTTTCCACAGAGACAGGGGTGGTATAGTGTACTGTGTAGGTGTTGGAAAATAGAGTGTTTGTTCTTGCTGTATCTTTGTAAAAGATAATTTATGTTAATTGGTTAAATAGAGCTGAGGAGCTAATCACTGCCAGCTAATATCTGGAGAGATAACACACTGGTAGGGGCTTGAGCTGACACCATTAGAGAAGAATCATCCCCAACCTGTAAATTGTACCTAGAATTCTTGGGGGTGGGGTGCTGCCTCACTCTGGAAGATTGAGATCAAAGTACTGCCTCATGCACAAAACAAATAGTAAATGGAAAGAACAAACAAAGGGAAACTGGGCACAATGTTATTATGATGACCAAGCCTGGCCAAAAGAAAAGTTGTGAAAATACCTCCCCTCCCTTCTTTTTGTTTTTTTAGTGAGGCACTTGGGGTTAAGTGACTTGCCCAAGGTCACACAGCTAGTACGTGTAAAGTGTCAAGTCCGAGGTCGCATTTGAACTCAGCTCCTCCTGACTTCAGGGCCAATGTGCTATCCACTGTGCCACCTAGCTGCCCCCTCCCTCCCTTCTTTACAGAGGTGGAGGACTACGGATATAGAACATTGCACATACAATTCAACACAGTTAATATGATAGTTGGTTCTGTAGTTGGTTGAGTTGAATGTTTGTTTACTTATGCTTTGCATTTTAGTAGCTCTAGATCTGAGATGAGAAGCAGTACAAAAGCGGTTTTGTTATTCAATCTCTTAGTTACCCCCAAGGTAGAAAAGTCTCTATTCTCCATAGATAGAGGAATTTCCTCACCAATGAATGGTTCCTTCCTTAAAATCAAGAAATCAGGGGCAGCTAGGTGGCGCAGTGTACAGAGCACCGGCCCTGGATTCAGGAGGACCTGAGATCAAATTTGACCTCTGACACATAACACTAGCTGTGTGACCCTGGGCAAGTCACTTAACCCCATTGCCTAGCCAAAACAAAACAAAACCAACCAAACAAAAAAAAAACCCCAAGAAATCAGAGGTCTGAATCAAAAATCAACAAACTTAACTGCTTACCTCACTAGGTTACAGGTGAGGGAAGTGGTTAACCTGAAAGCATAAAATGAGTTAAGACTTTGTAAGGGAGTTTGATCAGGGCAAATTCTCCAGGCAACTTGAATGATCAAGCCCCCATATACTCTGATAACTCTGTAATCTAACGTACAGAGACACTCCCTCCAACATTCATGTTCTCACAAAAATTCTCCACAAGAGCTCTACTTAACATTCTAGGCTCTTTCTTCCAGTTCTTTTGACCTTTGTCAGATGCCTGTGGATCACATGTGAGTTATAATTATTGCTTGATTTGTTAATAGGACCAGGAAGTTGTACACATGAAGAATGTACTCTCATTACAGCAGGGGTGGGACTTTTGGTCTTGCATAACTGGAATGCTTGTAATTGCAGCTGGTTACCTACCCTTCAGCCTTTAATTTGGAAAGTTCACAACCTCTTATCAATAGTTTGGAACAAGGAGCTCTATTGTTAAGGATTAGAAACTGCAGTTTCCCTCCATCTCCTCCATGAAAATACGGTAAAATTCCATACCCTAAAAGAGTAGTTTATTTCTATTTAGATGTAGCAATAGAAGCAGAACAAAACTATAATTACTTATGTATAGGTACAATCACAATTTAATAATATGCTATGAAGAGTGAAATTTTCTGAAATATATGTCCCTTATTTCTCATTTTTCTGTATTTCAACTTAGGCAACTATCCACTTTGCTTATGCTACTCCTGTTTCTACTCTCACCTAATTCATTACCTTAGAACCTTCTGAGTAAGGAAATCCAATTAAAAAAAACCCTACCCCATTTAGTAAGCAGCTCCTATATGCAAGGCATTGTGCTAGAGGTTTGAGATACAAAGATGGAAAATGATTGAGAACTTGCCATGAATAAGCTTGAAGTCTAATGGGATGAAAGAAATGACATGAACACAAATAAATGTGATATAATGTAGGTTATACTAGGGGTAGAGGACAGCCAGGTAAAGCGTCATGAGCAATTTACAGAAGGAAAGATTATTTTCATCTGTGGTGAGGGATAGAGGAAGAGCATATCAAGGAAAATTTCAAGGAGGAGGTGGTTTCTGAGTTGGGCCTTGAGACAAAGGAAGAATTTAAATAGAAACAGGTAAAAGGAGGAATCTGTTCTAAGCATAGGGGATATCATGAGCAAAAACACTGACACCAGAGGGAGCAGACTAGAATATATATTAACAAGGGTTATGAGGTAAGTAAAGCTGGAGAGGTAGGTTGGAGCCAGATTGTGGAAGGCCTGGAATGCCAGGGTAGGGAGTAAAACATTGTCATGTTGGCAAAACGGTTCTACTGAAGATTTTTCAAGTAGTGATATGATCACAGCAACAATCAGGAAGATTACTCAGACAGCAGAGTTAAAAACGGATTGGAGGGGGCAGCTCACTGGTGCAGTAGATAGAGCACCAGCCCTGGAGGCACTCAGACACTGAGCTGTGTGACCCTGGGCAAATCACTTAACCCCAATTGCCTAGCAAAAAAAAAAAAAAGAATGGATTAGAGCTCTTGACTCCAGAAGACCAAAGGTGATCTACTAACTTTCTCTCAGCAGACTAACTTGGACTGTAGGTGTGGCTATGTGGAGGCATATATTATCAGATATGATTAATGTTTTGCTTAAATATGCTTCTTTGTTATATGGGAGGGTTCTATGGGAATGGGGTCATGGAGGAGTGACATAGAAATAAAAATAAATCATCAATAAAACGTTTTTTTCTTTTTTAGAAAAAAGAAAGATGTTAAAAAAACAAAAACAAAAGCAGGACAATTTCCCCGACACAGTATGATCAAAGATTTAGATTTAAGGAGGAGACTGTGGAGGGCATTGAGCTCAACCAATTCATTGTCCAGATGAAGAATCTCAGGCACAGCGAGATGAAGTGACTTGCCCAAGGTTATTTAAGTGGTGTCATAGACAGGACTTGAACGCAGGTCCTCTCACTCGGGAGCCACACACTCTTTCCTCTATACCACACTTTTGATACGTTCATGTACTGGGACAAGTGGACAAGTCTAAGATATTTACGCCTAATTTTCATCAACATGGATACATCCATGTCTGATATGATGATGATGTTTTTGATTCTTCAATATCATTCTAGTCAGGTTATTCCTCTTCATTTTACAAATAAGGAAACTGAGGCTCAAAGTACTTAATAATAAGCATTTAATCTCTAGTAAGCATCCATCCATTAGCAGAAGTTAAATAACTAGTTCCTTGTCACATGGCTATTGTCAGAGATAGTCTTTGTTTTTGGTGAGGCAATTGGGATTAAGTGACTTGCCCAGGGTCACACAGCTAGTTAAGTGCCAAGTGACTGAGGCTGGATTTGAACTCAGGTCTTCATGACTCCAAGGCCGGAGCTTTATCCACTGCACCACCTAGCTGCCCCCCAGAAACAGTCTTTGAACCGCGGTTTTCCGAACTCTAAGATGATACTTAGTTTTGGACACACAGAGTTTGTGGAAATGCAGGCGAAGATACCCTGCAGGCAGCTGTAAATACAGGACTGGAGCTCTGGGGAGGGTTGGAGGTGGATGTGCAGATCTGGGAAAACCCCTTAACCTCACACACAGGTCACCACCGAAGTTCACCAAACACCCGGTATTCTTTATTAACTCTTAAGCATTTATCACCTTGCCTTGTGTCGTAGGACATCTGTATATCTTACTAGACTATACACTTCTTGAGGGCAAGGAGTGGTTTTTTTTAACTTTGCTTTCTCCGGCATTCAGCACAGAACCAGCACATAATAAGCGCTAAACTCATGTTTTTAACTGGAATTAAAGACACCAACTCGCTTCAATAAATCCTACTGTTTACCTACAACGCCCCAGGCTAGGGAGGGGAGAGATTATGTCATCGTCAGCTCCTCCCATTGGTTGGGGGAGGGCCTGGAGCGCGGCGCGATGACGAAGGACGCCGGAGGGGAGGAGAGCGAAGGGAGGAGGAGGAGGGAAGGAAGCGCACAATATGGCGGCGGCGGTGGCGGCTGGGCCCGGGGAGGGCAGAGCCGGAGGCGGCGCCGCTCTCTCTCCCTAGGGGCTGCTGTAAGGGCTGCGGGGACCGAGCCAGAGCCTTCGGCCGGCCGGCCGGCGGCGATACCTTTGAAGTCTCGACAGCGGCGGCGGCGCTCGGGTGAGTGGCCGTCAGGCTCCGGGGCCTCCCCTCTCCTGGGGAGATCGACCTGGGCAGAGGAGGAGGAAGGGGAGGGCGGAGGGACGTGGGCTGAGGGCGGGGTGAGGGGCGCGAGCGGGGGGGGCGCGAGCTGAGGGGCGGGGCGCGGGGCTCGGGGGCACGGGGTGAGCGGCGCCAGACCCTGCGGCTCGAGCGGAGGGGCGGGGTGAGGGCTCCAGGCCCTTCCTGGCCTCCGGGCTGGACCGGTGAGGTTTGAGGGGTTGGGGAGGGCGGAGAGGCGCGGGGGGGGGGGGGAGGAGGAAGGGGAAAGGGGCCGTGGGCAGGGGGTCCGCGGTGAAGGATGGGGACGACTGAGAAGGTTTTGGGGAGGGAGGAAAGGGAGGAGACACTGCTCGGGGTCAAGTGTCGGTTGGGGGGGCCTGGAGTGGGGGGACAGCGGGGAAGGGAGAAGGAAGGAAGAAGGGGTTGTAGGGAGAAGGGAGGTGGGCTGGGATGAAATTAGGGGAGACTGGGGTGTGGAAGAGTGAACCAGGATCGAGGGAGGTCCTCGAGGGGGAGGCCCAGGACTCTTGTAATGAGGAGGGAGGTAGAGGGGAGGTAGAGGGTAGGAGGAGGCAGTAAGTTCACGGTAAGATTTGGGATAATGTTCCCTATTGTCTTTTTCCTAATATCATACCCATATCTCTCGATCTCCGTCTGACCTGTCTGCTTGCTTGTCTGTCTCTTGTAACTTAGAATAGCTTTCCTCCAAATGAGGCAGAAGAGGAATTTAGAATCTCAGTTGTGGGTATTGAGGGTCAGATTCCATTTCCTGGAGGACTGATTCCTAAACTTTCTGGTGTTGCCACACACTTGTTTGGAGGACATCTAAAATTTTGCTTAGGCATACAAATCGATTTAGAAAATTAAAAAGCCTTAGGGTTTTGAAATTTCTTTTTTGGAAACAGCAAGATAATTGGGGGTACTCCTGGGTGTTATAAAACCAGGACTGGAAATCATTGGTTAAATTCTTAAATTTATTTTATTATTGGTCTGTCACTCATTTATAAGCTTTGCTTTTCCCCCCTTCCCCCATCTGTCCTCTCGATGGTATTTCTGTTCATTATTATCTCTTCAGATTTGGTCATAAAGGAAAAGTCAAATATATCTCTTCAGATTTGTTAAAATTGAGGTTAGAGTCTTTAGTAGCCACTACCTTTTAAGTTTTCTGAATTGAGATTGTTAAATCCCAACCTAGTTGACTGGAAAAATCTATTATATATTATTTAAAGTTAAAGAATATGAAATGTCCCACAGAATTTAAAAGGTGTCTGTTAACTCATTAAGCTATTGCTCATTTCCTTTAAAGAAATTTCATGAAGTGACAGCTTATAGCTAAAAGCTATTTCATATTATTAATAAGATCCCCTACTCATAAAAAGATAGGGGTGTTTTTAAAGTTTCTACTTCTTGTTGATTTAGCATTTCTCTGTCTTATAGGGTGTCTTGGTGCAGTTTTAGCCTTTAAAAGCTTAAAACTTCAAGATTTTTGGAATACCCTGTGTAGTAGATTTGCAAATAATCTGATGCTATTCCATGGGATTTGGAAATGTACAGTGTCATTTTTACAAATGGGGGAGCTGGGGCAGAGAGATTTAAAGATGAGAATAATTCAAGTGCTTCCTGAATTTCAGTTCTATTTAGTCCAAAACTTGTTACACCTCAATATTATACCTTTTTATTTGCCAGAAGTATTTTTCTCTGATTTTAACCCTTGTTTTGAAGGAGACCATGGCAACATGCATAGTGTTAGATTTATGGGAAGGTTATTTTGGACAGAATTATCATTTTCAACTTGTCCTTCAGTTGGCCCCTGTTCTTGTGCTTTTTTTTGTTTTGTTTTTGTTTTGTTTTTGTTTTTGTTTTATCCTTTTAATTTCTGAGGCAAAGTGTTTATGAAGATCTTTGGAGATTTCCATTCATTGGTTAGATCTTAGTCTAATAATATATTTTCATTACAATGAGAGAAAGTGACATTCTACTCACTGAACCTGATTGTAGATGGCATTAGAAGTTTTTATTTTCCTGTTACATTATTACTTGTTTTTGTTTTCCTGTTAACAAGGTTGCTTTTAGTAGTTATTTGAGCAGTATTGAGAAATCACTTTGAATATGAACTTTGTCTTCTAAGCGATAATGTAGAGTAAGTCACAGAAAGTGTTTTATACTCTATTCTAAATAGTACTTTGATATGAGGGGAAAATTTGGATGTAAGATTATGAAAATGGGGAATTTCGAATCATAGAAGCTAACACTTTGAGAGTGGTAGAAATTTGTCTTAATAAGCTTTTGTACATAAAACATGTAAGATACTTTTTTTTTTATTTGTTTTTTTTTAGTTTCACTTTAAAATGTCTGGGATATTCGTAATATTTGGCACATCTTTATGTGATAATAGTATTCATCACCAACTGGGACATACTTTATTAACCCAGTTTGTAGATTGGAGTTTATAGAAGTTTGTGCTTCTGGCTTATAGAATCACTCAAAAGTACATGGAATATTTGTAAAATCTTTATACACTGCAGGTAGTTTTCCTACTCTTTGAATATAGAAGTTAGAAGTTAAGGGAGGGTTAAGACATTTAACTTTTTTTTTTTTTTTTTGGTGAGGCAATCAGGGTTAAGTGATTTGCCCAGGGTCACACAACTAGTAAGTGTCAAGTGTCTGAGGCCAGATTTGTAATTTAATTAACCTTATAAATCACCTAATTAGTCCCCTCTAATTTTAAAGGTGAGGAAACTAAGGCCCAACAAGATTGTGATTTAACCAAAGTCTTACAGTTGGTTAGTGTCTTGTATCTTTTCCAAATGTGGGATATCCCCTATAAACAGGATCCTTAGAAAGAAACAGTCTTAAAAATGATTTTTAGTTATCTTTCTTTTGTATACTTTTGTATTAACATTTCATATTGAGTGCTTTATCTCTGTATGTTACAGTTTCTTGTGTCTCTCGTTTGTGACAGTTTATTTGTAATGACAAAATGGTCAAAATAAAGGCTAAGAAGTGGCAGTTGCTATTAGTAAATGGTATTGTTGACTATGTTGAAGGCTCTAAAGTTTTGGAATCTAATGTTTTAATATTAGAGAAGCTACTAATTATAAAGAAATTTTCATGAGCACAATTACTTGAATTCTTATTCCAGGTAAGAAATCAGCCTTTCGTTGCCATATAATTTGATTAAAATTTATAGTATAGTAATAAATTATATTAATGTAATATATTAATACAGATTTATTAAGATACTTGTGGTTTGCCACTGCTATAATAGCTTTGAATGAGTCGAATAAATTTGTCAAAATTTATTAAAAATTCAGATATATTATGACATGTTTTGGAATTAGTCTAGAATAGTGGTCTCCACACTATTTTTATCGCATCCCTAATAGCAAAAAGTATTTATGCGTGTACCCACAATGTGTGTGCTTTTACCTTTTTTTAATAAATTGTATATACTATTGTACTAATAATTACATACATGCTAAAGTTAGGTTATTGTAATAATAATTATGTACATTCTAAAGTTTACACAAAAATAGAGATTAAAAAAGGATGAGTTAAAATGAACTGATATTTCTTCCTAGATTCAATAGGGAGCAGCTTAAATTTATTAAGTAGAGTAGTGACATGATCAGACCTTTTCTTCAGGAAAATCACTTTGGCAACTGTGTGGAAAATGGATTGGAGAAGGAAGAGACTTAAGGCAGAGAGACTATATAGGAGGCATTTGCAATCCTAATTCTGTTAAGAAGTAGTGAGGACCAAACCTGGGACATTGATTGTGTGAGTAGTGAGATAGATTTATCCATTGATTGGGTATGTGGGGTGAGGAAGAGTAAGAATTTGAATATGACACCAAAGATGATAACAACCTGGATTGGAAGGTTGTCAGTGGTCTTGACAGAAATAGGGAAGTTGAGAAGAGGGGTGAGGTAAGGGAGAAAGATAATGTAAAAGAATTGTTGTTGCAAATTGCAACCCATCCATGTGCCTGCTCATCCTGTGCAACTTGTTTGTTCCAGGGCAGATGAAAAGAGAGAAGATGGGACTCTTATCAAGAGCCAGTTAGCTAGCCCTCAGAGGGGTGCTTGTCACAACTAGGAGATCTGAGGGACAGGAATGGGGTGTGGGATTGGAGGGAATTTCCCTAATGGCACCTGAGTAGTAGGACTGTCTCCTTCACTGAGGCAATTCAGTGCAGTTTGAAGAAGGTTGAAAAGTTGTACTACCCATCTTTCCATTCTCCAAATGGTCCATTACCTCCTTGAATTGAAGTCACAATCTCATAGGAGACCTGAGCTCCCACTTTAGACAATTGGTCTAAAAACAGCATTTCCCTATTTAATTTTGCCATAGAAAATTTTTGGACTTGAGATATATTGATGAAACCCCTAAGTATGGATCAAAGGTTATACTTAATCTTGATAGCATTTTGGAAGAAATGAAACCTACTTTCGTATCTGAAAAGTGCTTTGTGCAATCTATATTTGATACATGCATGATTGTATATTTAATATTTTAGAGGGAAAATATTGCTATATTGAAATTTTTTTTTCGAAGAACTCTCAATAGTATATGGAACACCAACCAAGGCTCATGACACAGCTTTGAATATGCTGGAGAATAAGTGTTTGCTGGAAATACCATGCTTCTAAAATGACTGTCACAAAACCATTTTAGGGATTAGGATTAGACCTGTGATTTCATTGGTATAGGGAACTCCAGATTAGGTAACTTTTACCCATGCAGTTTCTATAACTAGTCTTAACAATGTGCAATAATAATAGCTAGCATTTGTATGATACTTTAAAGTTGATGAAGGCTTGAACTTGGGTTGGTGGCTGCATGAATGCAAAGAAGGAGATGATATAGATGTTGGGGTAGTAAAATTGACAAGGTTTATGGAGAGGAGGAACAGTCTCTCATGATTGTGGGGTTGTGCCTTTGGAAAGATAATGGTACCCTGTTGAATTTGACAAGCCTGTGGAAATGTCCAGCAGGCATTTGGTGC